CCCAGCTGTCCTGCACAATGCCCTTTGCAATTATCCTGTGCAAATTAGTGCCCCTCACTCCTGGGCAGCTGCAGGACAGCTGGTGTCCCCTGCAGGGTGGCCTTGGCTGCTCCTCCAGCATGGCCAGGAGCTGGAGCAGGGAGCCATGTCCCTTCCAGTCCTTGGAGCTGGCTCAGCTGGGGCTGGGCTGCTCCAGCCGTGCCTGCTGTGTTATCCAGGGGATGGTTCCCAGCTCTGAAACAGCCTCAGCCTGTGGGCAGGGATTGCAGGGCCCTGATCTGCCCCAGAGGGTCTGTGCCAAGCCTTGGTGCCCAGCAAGCCTCGGGCACTAGGTGGTGTTTACCAAGTGACCCTGGTCTGTCCTGGTCACCTCCCAGCTGGGAGCAGCAGTCCCCAGGAGCTGGTGGGGGTTTGTCCCACCAGCTGAGGGGGGTCTGTGCCCAGTCTGCCAAGGCAGAGGCACCTGCTGAGCATCAGAGCATCTTCTGCTCTCCATTAGAGCATCTCCCTGCCCTCGGCGCCAGCACAGGACACCGAGGCCACCCTGCCCCGTGCCGGGCACAGCCCCAGGGCACTGTGCTGTGCCACTGCCCGGCAGGGCAGGGAAAGCGGGAGGAGTAATTTCCACTCTTATTCATTTGTTTCTTTTACTGCTTTGCAGACCCAGACCTTCCCCTGGGACCCCGCTGCTGCCATCCTTGGCAATGGATACACTAAACCTTTCCTGCGGGATGCCACCTCGGGAGCCCCTGGCAGGAGCATCCCGAGCCCTGCAGCGGCTCCTGACAGCCAGGAGTCCCAAAGGCGCTCCCTGTGCTGCAGGACAGCATCCCGAGCCCTGCCTGCAGCGGCTCCTGACAGCCAGCTGTCCCAAAGGCGCTCCCTGTGCCACTCTGGGCACTCGCTGCCGGTGCTGCTGGAGAGCTCCGGAGCTCCCGGGCAGGCAGCGCGGCCGGGGCCGAGCCGGGAGCGCAGATCCCGCGGATAACGGCCATTAACCTCTCCCTTGGAACAAGAAGGTGCAAATGAGCCCACAGTAGCCTCCTTTCTTCTGGCTGAGCAAGATTGATTGAAAAACAAATTGGCGCAAATAAAGCATGTAATTAGATTAAAGCCTCTCGCCTGGAGCGGCTGGAAAGCAGCAGCGAGGGATTCCCGGGAGCCCGCAGCCCCTTCCACCTCCGCAGCCTCTTCCCACCTGCCCAGCCCCTTCCCACGTCTGCAGCCCCTTCTACCTCTGCAGCCCCTTCCCACCCGCCCAGCCCCTTCCACCTCCGCAGCCCCCTCCCACCTCCGCAGCCCCTTCCCACCTGCGCAGCCCCAGAGCGCCCTGGGGCCCCCAGCCCCGGTGGTCCAGCAGGACCAGCACCTCCAGGATGTGACCAGGCTGTCCCCCCGCATCTCGGCAATGTCCTTGCAGGCGCCTCGGCCGCTCCGGTCCCGGTCCGGGCACGGCTGGGGTGCCTTTGGTACCTCCCTGGCAGCTCTGGTCACGGGCACCACTGCAGGCATCCCCCCAGCGCCGCTGCAGCTCGGGGGGAGCTCCCTCCCTGCCTCCGGAGCTGCCTGGGCCGGTTTGGGGATGGGGATGAACGGCCTGAGGGGTTTGTGGTGGTTCTGGACAGGCGTGGCCTCAGCAGCACATCCCAATTTTCCCGAGTCTAAAGGGAGCAGGAGATGACTGCTGGTGGCACAGCGGGGACAGTCCAGCTGTGCCAGACACCCACTGGAAACGCTGCACTGGAAAAGCCTGCAGTGGGAACACTGCACTGGAAAACAAACAGTGAACTGGAGAACAGCTCACTGCAAAACTCCTCACCAACACGGGTTTTTACAGCTCTTCCACACCACTCTGTCTCCTCCTGAGCCCTCTCCCAGGGCTGGCTGCACATTTCCTATCCCCTGCCTCTTCCTCAGCCCTCTCCCAGGGCTGGCTGCACATTTCCTATCCCCTGCCTCTTCCTCAGCCCTCTCCCAGGGCTGGCTGCACATTTCCTATCCCTTCCCCCAGGATCTCTCCGGTGCTGAGCCCCAGGACACACTGGGGACATGGGGTACAGATCCAGGGGTGCCCTGCCAAGAGCCACTGCCAACAGCATGAAACACATTCATAGGAAAACATCTGTCCTCGAGAGCCCAGCACGCCATAAATCCCAGCCTGGCAGCAGCTCCCAGCCCAGGGGCAAAATCACAGTTTTCTGTTCGGGGAGAGATGCAGAAACAGGGAGCTGGTGCTGGGGACAAGAGCTTTGTGTCCCCAGGGGGAATCATCCTCTGGAAATGGCCCAGGACGGGGAGAGGGAGCTTGTCAGTCCTGACTCCGAAGCCCGAGGCTTGCCTGTGGTGGGATGTGGGGATAAAAGGCTTCAGGGATTAAGGGACATGGAGATGAAAGAATAAGGGGGTGGAGGAATGGAGGGGTTTGGGGTAGAGGGAGTGGGGTGCAGGAATGTGGGGTTGGAGGGATGCAGGGATGTGGAGGTGGAAGGATGCAGGGATGGAGGAATGAATGGATGTGGGGCTGCAGGAAGCCTGGCACTGGGATGATGAGAGCACGGTGCTGTTGTACATGAAGCTTATCTGCATTTCAGCAGTTTGGGGGGGGGGGGGGGGGTGCGTGTTTAGTTTTTTTTGCTGCAATCATTCTGAGCTGTTTTGAAGTGACCAGGATCTCCCCCGCTGGAAGCTCCTCTCCCCTGTTGTGCTCCCAGCCATTCACTGGGATCAGCATGAGAAACCTTTCAGAGGGAGCTGGATGCTGCTGATCAATCAATCAATCAATCAGTCAATCATTGAGCCAATCCATCACCTCCCTTACAGCTGGGACAAGGCAGAGAAAGCCCGGGCAGGGCTGAATGAATTCCTCCTTTGGACGGGTACAAAGCTGAAGACTCTCAGGCTGATCCCAGATTTACCCCGGGGTGAATGAAATGAGGATTTCCCTGCGCCGCAGGGAGCTGGGCAGCGCTTTGTTCCCAGGCTCGGGATGCTCCCGGCTCTCCGCAGGGCTGACACCTCCCCAGCCAAGGATCGGGCTTTTCTCCCTGCCAGTGCTGAAACTGGAGCTCCGGCTCATCAGGGAGGGCAGTTTCCCCCGTTCCGGGTTCTTGGGGGAGGATTCAGGTTAAAATTTGGGTACCACAGCATGCAGCCAGCTCTGCCCCCGGTCTCCTCTGCCCTCTGGGACAGCTGAAACTGCAGCCAGAGCTGCTCTGGGTCTGGGGAGGCCAGGGATCCCCGGAGCTGGCTTCTCCCTTTCCTGCATTTACATCCAGCCTCTTCCCCACCAGCCAGGAACAAAAGGGCCCAAAATGACATTTGGAAGGGCCAGATCTGGTGTTGAAACAGCAGAGGTTGATTTCCAGGGGAAAACCATGGGGAGCTGCATCAATCCAATCACCTGGTTTTATTTAAGGCCCCTGGCTGAAATCATCCACCTCAGATAATCATTCCCCAGAAAATCTGGATTTGATTCAGATAAGACAAGGACTGACTGGCAGGTTTGTAAACCATCACCCCCCCACTGCTATTTTTGTTTGCCCTTTCACTGTGGTCTCTTCTGTCTGAGAGGGACCAAAAAAGCACCAGAAAAGCTCCTCTTGCCTGGCAGCAGAAATGAGGAGCAGCCCCTCCTCTTCCTCCAATCTCCCAGCATGGGAGAGCATGGATGCATGTCATCTAAACAATCCACTTTTGGCCTGTTTTCCCAAACTGATTGGGACCCCTGAGAGCAAAGCGGAGCCAGGCAGGACCCCCACACCAGAGCTGACATTGTCCCACCCCTCGTTCCAAGGCCACCTTTGGCCCATGCTCCTCTGCAATGGGTGATGCTCCCTCAGCTCTTGGCCACTTTCTGTCCACGTGGCCACGAGGGCAGGAAATGGAGCTGCACCTCTCCCACAACTGCCTGCACTCAAAGTCTCCCATTAATTGCTTTTCCCATCTTGTTTCCAAACACTTTTTCTCCCATAGCAGCACTGCTGGATGCTCCCCGTTGAGGAAAAGGGATGAAATACGCAGGGTTCAAGCTCCTTGGACAAAGCAGTGCTTAAAAACTCCAAAATCAAATCCTATTGAGAAGAATTATGATGGGATTCTGGGCCTGATGGATTGCTCAGCTTGGCTCAGCCTTCTCTGGGCTTTCACTGGGAGAAGGCTCCTGGTGGGATGCCCTGGTCCCCCTTCTGGGCGGGGAATGAGGACATCTGGCCCTGCAGGGACACAGGGATCCATCCACAAGGCACTGTGCAGGCATTTCCCATCCGTCCCAGAGCAGGGATAACCCGTCCAGCCTCCAGCCAGGGCTCCTGGGCTAAGGAAGGGCTCTAACCCTGCTGGATGTTCTCAGTTATCAGCTTTATGCAAACTCAGCTGGCCTTAGACCCCTGAGCAGCCCCTCTCCCATGGCAGGCTGTGTTTGCACGGGGTAAAACCTGTCCCTTCAGTCGGTCCCACAGACCCCCGGGACACTGGGCACTGAAGATGTCCCCTGGGTGACAATCCCTGCCACAGGCTGCGGCTCAGGGATCAATCCAAGGTGACATCTGCCACTTTTAGTACAAACTCCTTAATTTATGAACCCTCCTGCACCAATGAAACAAAAGTAAACAGCTTTTACACCTCATGGCCTTCAGAGGTGGGGCTCAAATACCTCGGGAACCAGCAGCAAGGACAAGTCAGCCTTTGTGGAACCCTCTGTCACCCCCTGGTCACAGCCATCAGAGCCCCTCGGTGACATGGGGGGACAGCTGTGGTTCCACTTGGATCCAACACTGGGTAACCCCCCTGTGCTCACAGGTCCAGCAGGAAAACCTCCTGCACACCGAGGGGCAGCAGGCTCTCAGGATGCTGCACACGTGCTTCCAGCACGTTTGGGCATAGAAGGAAAGCACTCATCCAGGTACCAGCAACAGGATTTATGCCCTTGGTGCAGTTTATCTCGAGGGAAGTGATTGCAGAGCAGCCATTTGGCACCGAGGTGCTCAAAGGCCAGAACGTACCTGCGGGCTCCTCGGCGCTGCTGGCGGCCGTGGTGGGAGGAGCAGCCGGGATCTCTGCGGGACAGCCGGGGCACACGGAGCACGGAGGAGAAAAGGAGCAGCGGTTATTCCAGACCCCAGAGAGCCTGCTCCCTGCACACGCTGCAGGCTGCCCTCCCAGCCGTGTCTGCCAGCTACAACCCCCCAGAGCAGTACAGGGCTACTGGGGAATCAGGCGTTCCTCAAAGCTGTCACAAAGCGGGGTTTTAACAAAAAAAAAATTGGCTTTTGGCTGCGTGCTGCACTGTGCCCAGCCCCTGTGGGCTCTGTCACTGCCTGTCCTGGGCTGCCCCCTCCAGCTGCTGTCACCATTCGGAGGCAGTGCTGGCGCTGCCCTGGCGAGAGGCAGGGTGCAGGTACAGCACTGCAGCTCTGCTGGGATGCAAGGGCTGCCTCCCACATTTAAAGGAAACACAAACACATCTGGTGCCTGGCCCCTGGCTCTGATTTGGGGCCAACTTTGCAGAGCTGAAACCACATCATGCTCTGGAGATTCCTTCCCAGGCTTGGCTGTGTTTGTTGAGAGGATGACTGTGGATGGAGGGAGCTGGTCCCAGCTCTGCAGGATGCTCCCCTTGGATGTCCTTCCTGCATTTAGAGCACAGTGCTGGCATTTCCCTGCATTCCTGGGAATGCTGGGATGGGAACACCCAGGAATGCAGGGCCACCAAGGCAGGGTTTGCTGGGGTGTGGCAGCAGCTCCTAGGCATGCAGCCCAGTCAGCACCAGGTGATTTTTGGGGTGGCTCACCTTCATGCAGTTAACACAGCACAGCCATCCCAAAGCTGGGCTGGGGGTGCCCCTGCCTGGCCTAACACAGGCCCAAGGTGTTCTTTTCATGGCTGCAAGTCTCTGGGAACAAGGAATTACAAGCAGTGGTAAATCAGAGAGTGACTGTGCCCAGCCCCAAACCCTGGCTGGGCCGTGTTGAAATCCTGGGCCTGTCTTTATTTAGTGCCATGAATCCTGAGGGAGCTGATGCAAGGAACAATTTGCTCTCTGATTTCCCCTGGCCCTGGGGAATGATTCATGATAAACCTTTGTGCACACTTGCTGCAGAGCAGACTGGAGCCACGGCTGGAGGTCCTGGGGACAACAAGGCTGTGCTTTGGGCTCTTGCTGTCCCATTGCAACACGGGGAAAAATGAATCTCAAGTGACCCCAAACCACCCTGGAATGTATGTTTTCTTCAGCAGGAGAAGGTGGAGAAAGGGTCTCTGCCCCAGAATTTGGCAATGGACATGCTGGGGGGGCAATGGTGTGGGAGCAGGCTGTGGGTCCCCAACAAAAGCTTGAATCTTTTAACCTTCACTTTTCTTGCTGGGCCTTTTTCTCCTTTTAGCAGCAGGGAATCACCCCTTAAGGAGCAGCTCCTCCTTCCCATCCCACCCCAGGCACACTCATTTTGATGCCTTGTTTTGTTAGGGCAGGTGGGGATGTCCCACACGGAGCATGAGCCACTGGGAGGTCCCAGAGCAGCAAACCCCACAGGGAGCAGAGAGGGGCACAGGACTGAACCCCCCCTCCCAGGGGCTGAGGGGATCCAGGCGTTTGCAGAGCAGAGGCTGCAATGGAGGCATTTTGGGAGCTGTCACTGCCTTGGGAAGGCAAATTGAAAAGCAAACCCAAGGAAGCCAAAGGTAAAGCCACCCGTGTTTCTGGGAGGGCTGTGTGAGTGCAAGACCCCCTTCAGCAATCCAGGGGTTCTCAGCTGTGATGGCAGCTCCATAAAAGGAGCATCTCCTCGGGTCAGAGCTCAGTGCAGCACTGGTTTTGGAGAGAAGAACCTGTTTGTAGCGATCTGCTGTAGCATCCAGCCCTGATGTGTCATCTCTAAATAAATGTGTTCGTGGGGCACCCCTGTTCCATGAAGTAAAATTGAATTCCCAGCAAACCTGGCTGTAAATGCACTCACAGAACCCCCCAAGAAGGCAGGAGAGCTGCTGGAAGCTGCTGTGGATTTTGGACCATGCTTGGGCAGAGCAGAGGATCCCCAGGCAGCTCTGCCCCCCGAGCGCTGTGGGGCTCAGCACCCCCAGCCCGGACAGCGGCTCCGGCAGGTTTTTAAGGGTTAAAATCTCAGTTTCACAGAAAGGAGGAAGATCCACCTACTTATGCAGGGGGCGATGGGGGAGCGGCTCTGCTGGTAGCCCTTGGCGCAGCGGTTGCAGGTGATGCCGGTGACGCCGTCCTTGCAGGGACACTGGCCCGTGGTCTGGTTGCAGGTCTGGCCGGCGGCACCCACGGGGTGACAGTCGCACTCTGGGGGGACACACGACAGCAGGGTCAGGGCAGGGCACGGCGGGCACAGTGGCGGTGTGGCATCGGCGGGGAGCGGGGCAGCTCCCCCGGCAGCGCTCCACCTTCTCTGCCCTCCGGGAAAACCCGCAATGAGCTGGGCCAGAGCTGGCCTTTGGCACAGGGCTGGGGACAGCGCTGGTGGCCCTGTCACAGCCCCGCTGCGGGGACAGAAGTGCAGGCAGGATGACAAATGCGGGGAGGCGGCGTGGGGGTGCATCCCACGGACACAACTGCTCACGCCGTGAGCGCTGGGATCAGGAGCCTGCAGGATTTAAAGGCAGGGCAGCAGCACCACTGCCCCCAAACCCCCGGGGCGCTGGCAGGGCTGGTACAGAGGTCCAAACCCAGCAGGGTTCCACCACCCCTCGGCTCAGGCAGGAAGCAATCGCTTGAGAATTCATTTCACGTGCACTCCGAGAAAAATCAAAGCAGTCCTTTCAGAGCCCTTCCCGCTGAGCAGCATCCCTGGCAGCTGGCACTGCGGGCACAGGAAGGAAATGCCCTTGTGGGATGCAGGCGGGCTGGAGGACCTGCTGTTCCCGGCCAGATGGATGCAGCCTTGACGGCAGAGCTGGGCAGATGTGAAGGGTTTGGCAGGGGATGTAAATACTGCACTTGAAAACATTCACCATCTCATTTCCCACAGTGGGACTTTACCGGCACAGCTGTTTGCAGGGGAAAAAAAAAATTAAAAAGGCAAAAAGAAAAAAAAGCCAAAAAAAAAAAAAAAAGAAAAAAGAAAAGAAAAAGAAAAAACTGTCAGGGCTTGTTATCATCACTGCTCCAAAAGGATTACGGGCTCGCACATTTGTTAACAGCCCTGATTTCTAAGAGCTGCAAGCGCCGTGCCAGACTGTGGGCTGCCCCTGCTGAGCGGTGGCAGGGACAGGCAGGCAGGCAGGAAACTTTCCTTTTCTTCTGCAGCATCCCCGGGAAGGAGCCAGCCAAATCCCTCCCTGGGGAGCGCTGATCCCGCTCTCCTCCTGCCCCTCAGGGGAGCTGCCTGCCAGGAACAGGGGCTGGGGGAAACCTGTCCCACTGCCTGGCCCTGGAGGGGGCTGCGCTGGGGGTCAGGGCAGGGCGAGTGTCCCCAAGGGCACCAGTAGCTCCAAACACCCCCAAAATGGGCACATCACTCCCAAGAGGGCTTTTCCTGGACCCTGCACTCCCCTGGCTCTCAAACACCCTAAATGTGCCTCATCTGGGGACAGCAGAGCACACCCCAGGTGGGGTTTGGGTTCCCAGGCCTTGGTGTTTGGCTGCAGGCTCCCTCCAAGCCAGCCCAGCAGGATCCTGCAGCAGCAGCTCCCAGTCTGACCCACACTGTGAGCAGCTCCCCGGCTGATCCCTGCCCAGCAGGGCGTGGATGGTGCCCGGAGCACCCCTGCTCCGGGCTGTCCAACCTCCCCTGGGGACATCCCAGAGCTCAGCTGCCACCAGCCCTGACCCCACAGCTCCTGGGTGGGGGGAGCCAGAGCCTTGCCAAACTCCGAGGATTTTTCACATGAGAGGGAAAGAAACCCCCCGAGAAACCAACAAAACTTTAGCTCCTTTCCTTCTCTTTTCCTAACACTTCTGATTTGGGGTTTTTGATTAGAAGTCCCTCTCTTTCCCCTGCCCTGAGCTGCCCCTGGGAAACGGCTCCTTGCAAACCTGCCCTCAGCAGAAATCTCCTTTTCTAAAGCTAATTTAGATTGGAAATGTTTTAAGGGGAAATCAGTGTGGCCGGTGATGAACAGAGGGATGCTTAGGTGGGAAAACCTTCACGCTGCAGCCCCAAGGGATGGCTCAGGTAATGCTGGGGGAGAGGAAATAAAACCACATCAAGCGAAGGCCTGAAGGAGGAACAGGAGAGAAAAGAGTTAAAGAAGAGCAGAGAGTCAGGAGTTAACACAAAAATAAGCAAAGCAGGGAAGGGTTACCCAAGGAGAGGCAAAGGACAGGAGGATGGGGAGAACAGCCTCCTGTTCCAGGCGTTCCCTCGGGGCTGCTCCAGGCTCCCTGCAGAGCCCATCCTGTGAGGAACCCCCGTGTGAGCGGATCGCCCTCCTTTCAGTGGGGAAAAGAGGGGAAAGAAGCCTTGGTGGTGAGTAAGATCCCCAGGCTCAGGCTCTTGAGGCCGCAGTGAGAGCTCTTTGGACAGCACAGAAATCAATAAATCAATCGAACGCTGCTGCTTCCTTCCCTCACTGGGTGGTGGCTCTGCCAGCTCGCCCAGAGCTGCCGGTTATTTTCAGAGCCCAATCTCTCTGAGGTTGTCTCCTCTCCCCAGGCCGGGCTCTGGCAGGGCTCTGAGGTCCCCATGTGTCCCCAGAGCTGCAGGGGGCACGAGTGGCACAGGGTCGGGGACTCACCGGCCCCTGGGCCAGGATTTCACCGGGATGAGATGCCGGGAAGTGCCACACCGAGGGGTAAATCCTCTCTGGGTGACGGGACGGGCTCAGTGTCGCCTGTCCCCAGTGTCCCCTGGCCCCAGGTCTGTTCCCAAGCTCCGGGGGCAGGAGCGGCTCTCGCAGTGCCTGCAGATGGGGATTTGCCGTCCCTGTCCTCGAGAAACTGAACCAGCGCCAGCAATTAGGAGCAATTAAAGGTAATTTACAGTTCCCCGGCCAGTGCAAACATTTGCAGCCAGCAATTGCAAGCTCTTCTCCTTCCCCAGCCATGGAGGGCTGGTGCTTGATGCTGATTTTCCCGATCCAGTTCAAATTCCTTTGGGCTGTAACCCCAAACTGAGGGAAGCCTGCACCGGGATGCCAGCGGGGGGGTGATGGCTGCAAACGCCCCTTTGGCATCGCCGCTGCCTTTCCGATGGGCACCCTGGCACTCACAGAACGCGTTTGCATTCCTGAACTTGCCTGGCTTTCATCCCTGACCTTCCCTGGCTGCAGGGATTTGTGGATTGGTTTATCACGCACCGAGGTGCAGGAATTGAGCAGTGCCCTGCGCTGAGCAGAGCCCTCGGGGCACCGGGGCTGAGGGCAGCTCTGTGAGCAGGACAGGAAAGGGTCCGGGACATCCCTGAGATGGTCAGGAGGATAACGCGGGGTTCTCCTCGTGCCTTGCTCGAAAGGATCGCCCCACAGAGGGTACGGTGAGATGGGAGAGAAGCAAACAGGGATGATGCTGGAGCGAGAAGGATGCCCACAGGACATCGGGGGAAGGGAAATAACTCTCAGGATTTGTTTTTGTTTTTTTTTTTTTTTTCTGAAAACCTTTGAGAAAAATGTATGCTGAGTGTCTGTGGCACAGATGACCAGGAATTCCTAGTGGAAAATGAAGTAATTTTTTGTTTGAAAACGTGGCTGTGGAGGAGAAAAGGAGCAGGAGTCTGTGGGGAGGCTTTAACAGGCAATGGGAGAAGCGGGGGGGTGCCTCTGCTCCCAGGAGCTGAATTCCCTATAAAATAACCACAAGGAAAGCAGGGAGCTGAGAGCACTTCCAGGTGAGCGCCTCGAGCTTGGCTGCTCCAGATGTGAGGAGACCACGTCTCTCGTTGCGAGACAGACCCAAAGTGGCCGAGTGGATGAGGGGACAGCAGCCAAAATCCGGAATGCAGAAGGAGCATAATTGGAAGGAGGGAACAGGATGGCTCATCCACGCTGAAGGGTCCCAATTAACTGCACCCACTCCAGGAAAAGATCTGGGAGTCAATGAAACATCTGGCTGATTGCAGCGGAGCTCAGAAGAGCCACAAGATGGGAGGCTGTGCTGTGAAAGGGGGAGAGAGAAACTCTGAATTCATATCAGGGCACTATAGAAATCAATAGCACGTCCTCAGCTGGGAGCTGGAGTGAAAGGCACGGAGAGCACCCACGGAAAAGATTCGCAATGCCTTGCCAAGAGACGGTGGAGGGCTGCCAAGCGATGCAGAGCGCCGGGAAGGTCAGACAGGTGCTCCTCTTCACTGCTCCTCAAAGCCCGGCAACAAAGGGACATTGAGGGCGTTGAAAAGGCAACCTTCTCCAGGATAAAAGGAAACGCTGCTTTGCACCGCACGTAATTAACTCGTAGAACTCCTGCTACGAGACACCATGGCAAGGGCCCAACAGGATTAGATAGGGCTCTGAATGAGAACATCTGTAGTTACATTAGCTGGGATTAATATATATACGGATATAAGCGCTGCCAGGCAGCTCCTCACCGCCTGCAGCCAGGAGATTTCCCCCGGGGCCAGGCTCTGCCCAACTGGCTGCCGTGGGCTTTTACAGCTCTGTCTGGAGCTTCCAGATCAGCCCCTACTTTCTGTACAAACCTGCCGAGGCAGAGCGTCGCCCATCCCAGCTTCAGCTCACGTTTGGGGCTAAAAAACACCTGGAAGGATCTTGGGGCCGTGCTCGGGGTAAAAAACCCCGCAGTTTTTCAGTTCAGGTGGTTGAACTTGCTGAGATGGTTCTGCCCCACTGAAGGCTGACAAATAGCACGACAAAAATGCAAATATTTTCGCACCCCCGGTGTTCGGGCGGAGGTATTCCCAGCCGCTAATCCTGCCCCCCACGCGTGTGGGGAAAGGTAAACAGAGGGATAAGTCTCCAGGCTCAGCCCTCCTCAACTGTGACCTTTATGGAGAAGGTGCCTGAAAAGATCTGCATTTTTGGAGAATTAGCATCTTCCTGTTTTCGGGGAAGCTGCTTCCTTGGGAGGTTTTTCAGAGTGATGAAAAATCCTTTTGCCTGAACAAGAAAAAAAGGCTGTATTTGCCAGGTTGTCCAGATGTCCTCTTGTCACCCTGGATGTGCCAGGATCACAAACCTCACAGGGCTCCAGATCCAGCTCTGGACTGAGCAGGAACCCAGCAATGCAATAAACTGGGGAAAACCCCTTAATTGGCAATAATCAGTGCTGTAGGCTCCCGTATTCAGAAATCACACTCGGTTTGAAGTACAAATTCAGTCCCAGGTAGCCAATGTGCCTTAGGTGCACATTTATATTTAACCAGGCTTTAAAATGCTTTTCCAGAATCA